CCCCCCCTCCCAAAGCTGCTGGCGGTGGGAACGGAAGCAGCGGCCAGGCCTCGCCTTCCAGCGTCTTCCGGGTGAGGGAAGGGCAGAAGCCGCAGCACAGGCAGCCGCCCACCTGCCTCCACCAGGGACGCTTCCTGGCCACGGCTGCCCCCACTGGGACCCGGGGGGAGACACCCCCCACCCCACCAGGACAGGCAGGCCGGCTCCATCCAAGGAGGCCCCAGCGCCATCCAGAGGCCAAGAAGGGACTTCCAAGGAGCCGCCGTGTTTTGCAGGACTGGGTGCGGCCTCTCTGGGCCCTCCGGGTGATTCGGACAACAGGCAACCCCCCCCCAAAAAACCCTCCCAGTGAAGCCAGCAGCTGCTTCTCCCAGGTGGGGGCAGCCCTTGGAGGGAGGAACCCGCCGGGATCGGCAGGCAGGGAGGGGCCACGGCCAGCCGGCGACCCTGGTGGCTCTTCCTGGGCCCTGAGGGGCTCCCCACCCGCACGAAAGCTTCGCTCTCAGGATCCGACCCCCCACTCCCAGTCGGTGCCCGTCTTCCTCTGCAGGCGAGGGAAGGCGGCAAGTGGCCCCAGGCGCCTGGCAAGGCCTCAGCCCCGAGTCCCAGGGTGAGGGAGGGGTGGGGGAGGGAGGCATCCTCCCCCCTTTATCCTGCAAGACCTCCCCCCCCGAAAGACCTCCAGTCACACAAGAGACACGAGAGACACGTAGGAAAGAAAAACTTTTATCAGCCGATGCAGAGAAGAGAGAGAGAACAGCTGACGGTCCATAGCAGGCCAAACCCCGACAGGCCGGGGTTGGGTGGGGGGGATAGAGGGGTACGGGGGGGCAGCAACAGCCCCCAGCCCCACTGCCTCCGGAAGGGGGAGGACGGTGGTCTGGGGGGGAGGGCCAGGCCTCAGTGGCTGGCCTGACCAGACCTTCCGGGGCCCGATCGGCTCCTCCCAGCACGGCCAAGGGCTTCGTTCCCCTTCTGCGGTTGTGTGGGAGGGGGAGGCCAGGCAGAACCCCCTCCCCAAATACGGGGGCCGCCTCAGCACAGGACTCGGATAGCAAAACAGCTCACTCTGCGGGGGCGAGGGGGAAGGGGGCAACAGCCACAACTGGGGGCCCCAGAGGAGGCCAGCCTGGCTGCTGAGAGCCCCCCTGGCCCCCCCTTGAGGCAGGATGTGGGCGGGGCCTGCCCAGGGCTTCACTCTGAAAGCTGCCGGGGGGGGGGAAGCGGGGGAGGGGCCCATCCGTCCGAGGGCCCCCGGGGACAGGTAGGGAGGCCTGGCCGGAAGGGGAGCAGGGATCCCCACTTCCTGCACGTGGGAAGGACAGGCGGACACCCTAAGCGCGTTCAGCACCACCCCTCCCCAAATTGCCAGCTAAGATTCACAGTGGGGGGAGGGAAGGGGGGGGTCTGCCGCCCCTCCTTCGGCACCCAGAGGGGGGCGCTGGCCCCCGGGAGGCCCTTCACTTCGGAGTGGACCTGAGGCCGGAGAGCTGCCGCTTGCTGGCCCCCTGGCCCTTCTCGGGGGGAGGGGCAGCCGCCTGGGAGGAGGGGCCGGGCGGGGCACCCTGGGCGCTCGGCTCCGGCGTCCTCGCCTCCTTCTTCTCTCCAAAGACTGCGGGAGAGAAAGCCGAGGGGTTAATCGGGGGGGGGGGGGGGGGGCCCCGGGGGGGGGGGGCCCCCCGGGGGGGGGGGGGGGGGGGGGGGGGCCCGCCCACTCACCTCGCTGGGAAAGCAGCTGCAGGAAGCCCAGGAGCCCAAAGGAGACCAGGAAGAGGCCGACCAGGTCCTCCACGGAGGGGGCGGCGGAGCCTGGAGAGGAAGGCAGGGGGAGGGGAGTCCCCGAAACGGACCTCAGGCCCCTCTCCCCTCCCCCACCCAGCCCTTGAGGGGGCTCCCTGGATGCCCCTCCCACCGAGACAGAGAGGAAGGGGGGGGATTCGGAGAGCCAAGTCCCACTTCGGCCCAGCCCAGGTGGGTCTCTTAGCCGGGGGGGCTCATAGGTGATTCCCTGCACACCCAGGATGGGCCGCACCCTTTGCCCCCCCTCTCCCCCCCCGCGGTAATTCCAGGGCTGGGCTGCAGGAACTGAACCCCCCACCCCACAAAGAAGCTCCCCCCACAGAGCCAGGTTCCCACAAGCGCCCCTGGTGGGGCGTCCTGCAGGCTCCAGACCGATGGGGGGCTGCACCCGAGATCCGCCGCCTGCCTCTCCTGCCAAGAGGGGAGCCGGGATAGCAACGCCTCCCCCTTGTGGCTCCAAAGGGTTGTTATTCTAGCGCCCCCTAGTGGCGGGCCTGGTCTCCGCCTCGCCTGTCGGGTGGGGGCACGCGGCCCCTCCCACCAAGGTGGGGAGGGGAGAGACACCCTCCGCCTTCACACCCTCCCCCCTTCACGCAGCCCCTCCCCCCTGCACGGCCTACCTGCCACCTTCAGCTTCAGGGTCCTCCGGAGCCCCGCCGGGCCCAGCCCCACGTGACTCACGTGGCAGCTGTAGGAGCCCCCCGGATCCCCGGACTGGAGCGCGGGCAGGCGGGCGAAGCTGGTGAAGCTGAAGGTGCCGTCCGGCGCCTGCCGGTTCCCCGATTCCCACGTCTCCAGGAGGACCTCGGGGGTGGCTCCAGGGCTGTGCCACGTCCAGACCACGGAGACGCTCGGCGGGTAATGGCCGCGGATCTCGCAGGCCAGGTCCGTGGGGGTGTTGAGGGGCACCGGGAAGGGCACCGGGCGGAGGGTGACCTTGGGCGGCCCCGGGGGCAGAGGAAGGGGGGGGGGGGGACGGGTCAGGTGGGTGGGGGAGGGGAAATGCAAGGCTCCACCCCCCTTTTCCTCCCAGGGAGAAACTACTCAGGGACACCAAGCGACCCGTGTGGGAAACGAGCACATATAGAGGCTGCTGACCGGTCAGGCCCGACGCGGCCTTTGGGGCACAGAGAGATCCAGAGACCTGAACTGGAGGTTTAGATGGGATGGTCCCAAAAGGGACCAGAACCCTTTGAGATCCTGCTGAGCCGGATCTCGTTTTGCAAAGGATAAATATATTTGGGCCCCGGAGGACGAAACCGCCAGAAAGGAGGAGCGGAAAGCAGCCGGCAGAGAGAGGCCGGAGACCGTCCAGGGGTGCGACGCGTGCAGGGAAGCAGGAGAGGAAGGTCCGGGGAGGAGTTGGGAGCCGCTGGCCGGAGCTGCTCCTTGCTGGGCCCGCCGATCCCCTCCGGGCCTCCTTGCAAGGGGCGGTTCCTGTCCTAGGGGCCGCCCCTCCCCCCCAGGGCACGCAGCAGGCGAGGGGGGGAGGGGGCGCCACTCACGCACGATCTTCAGCTCCATGGCCTGCTGGGCCTGCAGGTGGGGCAGGTAGACGGAGCAGATGTAGGTCCCCTCGTGGCGCACCTGAGCGCCCTTCAACTGCAGCGAGACGTTGCTGCTGCCGGGCTCCAGGAAGAGCTGGGCCCCCTCCTCCGCGACCGCCATGCGCTGGGCAGCTCCGTCGTAGGCCAGGATCACTCGCCCGGCTCCGCCGTGCTGGTAACGCCACTCAACCGAGAAGGCCGTGGCCGGAGCTGAGAAGCCGCAGTCCAGCAGCGCGTCCTTCCCCAGCAGGGACGCCACCCGCGGCGTCCGGGT